GCCAGTTTCATTGAATAGATTCTACTTGGTGGATATTAATACAGTCATGTTTTTCTTCTCCAATCATAATTTGTTGTCGTGCTTGGTAAAATTGCTTAAAGTAACTTTAATTTTTTTCAATACAAACACACAGATACAAATTATATCTATATAATATATGTATATTTATACACACATATAAGAAAATCATTCTTCTTTATGATTTAACAATACTCCATTGTATGAATACTACATTTTCTTGATTCTTTATCAATTGTAGGACATTGGGCTATTTTCATAGTTTGCAAATAGTGTTGCAATGGATATATATGTACAAATGCCTTTATTGTATCTTGACTTACATTCCTTCAGATATATGAATGGATTGTATGATTGTTCTACTTTTAGTTTGTGAGAGATTACCATACTAATTTTCAGAGTGGTTTTACCAGATGGTCAACCAACAGTGTGTAAGGGTTCCTTTTCACCAAAGTCTTTACAGGTTTTTATTGTTGCTTGTGGTCTTGGTGATGGCCACTCTGACTCAGATGTAATGAAATTTCAGTGTTGCTTGGGAAATAGATGGACCTAGAGGCCATCATATTAAGTGAAAGAAATCAAGTTCAAACAAACAAGCAAGCAGTAACAAATGCTGGTGAGAATGTTGGGGAAAAGGAACTTCCCTACACTGTTGGTGAGAATATAAATTATTAGAGCCCCTATGGAAATCAGTACCAAGGGCTCTCAAAAAAGAAAAAGAGCTATTGTATGACCCTAGATATATAGTTAAAGGGATGCAGGTCAGAATACAGCTAGATACTTATACACTCATGTTTATAATATAACAGTTCACAATAACCAAATTATAGATCAGCTAAGGTGGCTATGTATATACACAGTGGATTGTTTTTCAGCCATAAAGAAGGATGAAGTTCTGTCATTTACAGGAAAATTGATGGAAGTAAAAAAAAACATGTAAGTGCAATAAGCCATACTCAGAAGATAAACAGAAAAGCAAAACAATAACAACAAAACCTGCTAAACAACAACAACAAACCAATAAAGCAAATAAAAATAATTTTGCGTCAGTAGAAACATTCAGTTTCAAATCTTAGACATACATAATCTCTTCTGTTCTGCTTAGGGGAATCTAGCATCGTGGTCAGGAAGAGCGATACTGGAGATGAGAGGATTGCTTATTAGAGGTGAGATAGTAGTTCTCCCCAGTCTTTCGTGACTTGACAGTTGCCATGGACACCTCACAACTTTGTACAAATTTAAGACTTTTTGGATTGATCATCAGTGAGGATACCTGTGGAATCGGACACCCATTTCCTTCTTTAGTCCATATTAAATCAAACTCCTTAAGGAGTCCAATTCTGGTAACTCCAAGGCCTTGGCTCTTCTCTCTTTTCTGTATTCCTTCATGTTGAATCCAACATGAAAGTCCCCTGCTGCACCCATGAACATGTTAAGAAAGTGTGAACTGGGTAGCTTAAACAACAACAATAACAACAACAAAATGTTTATTTCTCAGTTTTAGACCTTGAGAATTCCAAGATTAAGATGCAGGTTGAGAGTACTCTTCTCTTACCACACACCTTCCCCTCCCTCCCACATACACTTTTTAATTTAATTGGTTTTGGCTATTTTTTGTGACAGGGTTGTATTATGTATCTAGGCCAGCCTGGAACTCATAATCCTCCTGACTCAGTCTCTAGAGAGCTCCCAAGTGCTGGAGTTACAAATATGTGCCACCATGCCTCCTGGATTGAGGTACTTCTTGTGGTTGGCAGATTATCTTCTTGTCCTCAGATGTTAGAAAGCTTGAGATGTTAGGGAGCTTGAGCTGTGTCTTTTCTTACAACATTAATCCCACTCATGAGTGCTCATAACCTACTAACTCCTGCAACGCATCATCTTCTACTGTCATCACATTAGAGGTTGGGTTACAAATGAGTTCCATTCATAACAATGGGCAAATATAGAATGGGTTGGAAGTTTTCACTATTCCCCTCTTAAGCTTCTACAATCTGATCTCTTTTTAGAACATAATTTTATTGATATTATTGAGGTGTGTACACAGGGGGACCATTTCATAAGTCAGGTAATTAGTACATTTGTTTTGCTGGACGCCCCTTCCTTCACTTTCCTTTATTTTTCCCTTCATATCTCTGCCCACAAATTGTATAATTCACTTTCCACATAGTACATTCTGAATTTTTTTTTTGGTGGTCCGGTTGTGTGGCCTGAACTCTGGGCCTGGGTGCTGTCCCTCAGCTCTTCAGCTCAAGGCTAACGCTCTACCACTTGAGCCACAGCGCCACTTCCGGCTTTTTTTCTTTTTGCTTATGTGGT